CAACCAGTCCATATGCCATTTATTGAGCAGTTGTATGTAATAGGCACTTTACTCATCCTAATTCATTACTCCTTATAACAAGTCTATGAGGCAGGTACAGAAATTACATCAACTTTTCTCTGGGGAAACTGAGGAACATAAACTTTTCCAAGGACAAACAGCTAGCAATCTGGTAAAGACAGAATTCAAATCCAGACAGTCTGGATGCAGAGCCCGTGCTCTTAAATGGTACACTATATAAAATCACTAGTAGAATATAGGGGTCACAGTGCCCACATGTTAGTTGCTATTATTATCTTAAATTTAAAGTTGACTCTTACATCATAAACATGAGTTAATCAGTCCTACAAATATGTTATTAACAGACTGATGAGTTATTTTGAAAACCACTCAAATGCACCAAGAGTATTTTAAATTGTCCTTTCATTTGTTTTGTAAATTAAGTCTTTAAAGAAAAGCTATTTATAAGGTAAGTGTGCCCTTGTGCATTGGCATCCTTCATTCCTGGAATGATAGCTGAAAGCGGGTTTCTCAGATGTCAGCCTTCTCCAACATGTTGATTTGTTGGACTGAAGGGCAAGGGTTCCTAAATTAAGCGTTAGTGGACTGGTACAATATGTCATCGATAAGCTACTGGTACTATGTATTAGCGTGGAGTCAGCAGACTCTACAGAAAATCCTAAAAAGAGCACAACAAAATCAAGGCTACAGGTTCTAAGAGATATGCAGGTTGGGGCTATCTGACAGCATCTTCTGATTTTCTTTAAACTGTGACTATACCTCATTGATAGTCCATCTAAATGAGATATAATTTTACAGTAAAGTTTGATTTATTTTTTGTATTACACATAATTATCTGTGCAAACTTAGCAAAAGTTTAAAGTTTAGATAATTACAAGAAAATGACAGGATGAAATCTGCTTCAATTGAAACAAATGTGTTTTCTATTTTTAATAAGACTTATGCAAGTGCTATTTTAGAGGGTGGCAATTTGACTATCGAATGGTTTAAAAAGGGGCACAAACTTCAGAAATGATGATATGCACAGAATAGATATTTTTCTAAGCTTTCAATTACATCAAGTGGTTTTCGGTATCGCATTCATTTATATATTGCTGAATAAAATGTTTTGTTTATCACAAAGAATGCCATTTAAACACTTTCATAAACGAGCTTTCTTTCTTTACTTCTTTCTCTTTGCAAAAAATAGCAACCAAACTCAATCCTAAAAACAACAGAATCATGGAAATTTCAAGTGATCTAATAAAGTTTTAAAGCACTGGTGCAGGAAGTTAGGATAGTAAAAAAGAATTTGCAGGAACTGGTTAGAAAAAGCTTGACAAGAAGAAAACATAGATGTTTTTTAAATCTATGGGAAAGGAATATAAGACTTGCGTCTGCAATAAAGCTTATCTAGAAATTGGATGTAATTCTCTTCTTAAATATTTAAGAGATTTCTGGATAAAAATTACTTCTGTTAATATTTTATCCACTGTATACTTGTGACCTGTAAACAAGCTGAGATAGCCACCACCTTTCAATAATTTTGACATGTTCCAGCTTTTTTCATATCAAATTGAGGACAAAGATGGAATGCTATGCTTATGAATAAAGCTTCTGTTATAACACCAAAAGCATAACTTTTGTTTAAAAAATTATATAACTGGGTCAAGAATAATGATTACTCATTACAAATTTCATAACAGTTCTAAGACATACTTTAGAACAGTAACATTGAAAGGTTTTAGTAAGCCTTGTTTCCTCCCACCAAGCCTGCCCCCACTCTTCAACCTCTAAGCATTCAAAACAAAAACACTAAAAAGAAAACAGTTGAAAGCGAATAATTAGAAATATGACCCACCTTACAGAAAGCCTTCTAATTAAGAGACAGAATTAAACATTTTAGGTATTAGTAGCAAATAGTTCTTTAAAATTTTATCCATACTTCAAAACACTATCCTCATACACATGCTGCTTAAAGAAAAGTGTAAAACAGTAATCTATCATATATAAGCAATCTATTTTTCATCTATTTTAGACAGTATTCTTGATTTATAAAATAGTATTAGTGCTGAAGCATCCCTACATTTGAGTTTTCTTCTATTCTTTGGCACTAAAATATGAACATTAATAAATTCAGTTTCTAAGTAAACACTGCTGTTATCTGAGTGCTATTTTCTCTGACTTACACATTAACTGTTTTAATATACTTACCCGCACCTCTGGTGTAGAAGATGGGGATGAGGAGAGGGTGATGCCCAAAGAGGTGGGTGCTGTAGGTTCTTCTATGGCACCTCTTGCAATCATCAACTTCACTCTATTTCCACACTGCCTAAGTACCTGTGCTACTTGCTCACTGCTCATTCCTGCCAGATCTGTGTCACCAATCTTGAGAATGTGGTCTCCACTGCATAATCGTCCATGCTGAATAAAACGAGTTTGAATAATTAGGCTATTCTTATTGTAATTGCACCAGAGAAATCCTAAATGAGGAAAGGGGAATAATATACGGGACGTCCCCACTCATAAGGGGGAGCTAAAGAATGAAAGAAAGGAGAAAGGAAGGAAGGAAGAAAAGAAAGAAAGCAGGAAGAAACAAACAACTATCACAATAATTGTTGAAATAAATGTTGAACTTTCAAAAGGAGTGAACAGAACTGTAGTTATTAGAGGTGGGAAAGGAGGGAAGGGAAAAAATTGGTTAAGAGTCACATGAATGATTACATTTTGTAAAGAGGAGCATAATAATTGTCCTGATTTTTTCATCATGTATTGTATGTAGGGACTGATATTCAACTCTGTACCCACAAATATATATAATCAATTTTGTTTCAATACAAAAAATTGCAATGATATGAATTACCAATCATGGGACACTAACATGTGGTTGTAAAATTAACTGTCTTCTGAAACATCCGAGCATCATTCAGCATGAAATTCACAAATATTCCTTAAATCAAAAGCTGATATGAACTTTTCATTTTGATATTTACTTACTAGATGTAAGAAAAAAATGCCTGTAGTGATTTTTTTTGAGGGACAGAAAAAAGAAAATGCCAGAAAGCAAAGATGAAGTATGAAATAACAAAAATTAGAAATGAAAAAGGTGATATTATAACTGACACCTCAGAAATACAAGGAATCATTAGAGACTACTTTAAACAACTATATGCCAACAAATTTGAAAATCTGGAGGAAACGGATAAATTTCTGGATACATACAAACTATCCAAACTGAGACAAGAAGACATAGAAAATCTGAATAGACCAATAACAATAAAAGAAATTGAAGCTGTTATCAGAAGGCTCCCAACAAAGAAAAGTCCAGGACTGGACTGGTTCACTGCAGAGTTCTACCAAACCTTCAAAGAGGAACTGATAACTAATTCTCTACAAACTGTTCCAAAAGATTGAAAGAGAGGCCATTCTCCCAAACTCAATCTATGAGGCAAACATCACCCTGATACCAAAACCAGACAAAGATGCATCAAAAATAGAAAAC